CCCCCAACGGTCACCTGCCGGCCGTTGGCGAGACGCGTCATCTCGCTCCCGCCGCGCATAACGGTCACCTGCCGGCCGTTAACGGCCGCGCCCGCGCGGAGGCAGGAGAAGCCCAGGCTCCCTCGCGCTCTCCCTCAGCCGGGGCAGCCATGGATCTTCTGTGCTCTGCATACCCCATGCCATGTCTCCCATTCCCACTTCATCCCCCCTCTCCCTCAGGTCTCCTATTCTGTGTCCTTGATCTGGAGTCCCACCAGTGCCTGGCGCTTTTGCCTTTCCATGGCCTCTCGTGTGTTTTTCCTTGTGTACCATGCATGCCCCACAAGCAGGGCTGCTGCGGCCCCTGCACGAGGGCAGCAGAAGTGGGGAGCGCTCAGCAGCTCCTCCATTCCCAGCACTGGCCATTCCGGAGACTTGGATTTTCCTAGATCAGAGTTCCCTGTTTGCTCCTGACAAACCAGCAGATGCTGAACCCGGGCCGATTTGCGGAAAGCGGCAGTGAGTGGCGCTTCTCTTGTAGATGGGAAGAAGGAGAAGTGCCACCAGTGCTGGGCTTAGCTTTGTTAAGCCACACACAGTTGTCTGCACTGTGTCATAGAACGAATAGTGGGTTTTCCCAAAAGCATCCAATAGCATACCTAAAAATTAGAAGATGGCTGAAAATATTGCCAGTTTTTTTTTGTTGTTGTTGTTGTTCTCTTAATAGTATTTTGTGCAGTGGCTTTCCAGAACCCATGTTGCTTGGGCATGTTTACCTGCAGTTGTGGCATGGTTTATTCAAACTATCCTGTGCAGCCACAGAGATGTTTTAAAATGGAGATCAGAGAGGCTCTTTGAGCCGTGCTTAGCCCGGTGTGCTGGCACGTGGAGCTGCGTTGGATGAACTGGGCTATCTTGTGCAGCACAGCTCCACATGGAGGCATGTCGGCAGGCCTGCAAGTGGTATTTGGGTGATTCCTTGTTAGCAGGACTGGTGAGCTGGGGCTCTGTGCCGTGCTGATGGGATTTGGCTGGTTCTAGGCTAACAGACTTGGCACGCGCTGCGCTCTCTGCGGTACAGACATACCTGAGCACCCACCTTTCCTTAAGGAAAAGCAAATGGCATCACACTCATCATAAAAGTGTTGGCAGTGTGGATAATTTTGAAAATACTTGCAAAATTTCAGAAATGGAGTGATTTCAGGTGTTTTGATTTCCAGGTGCCCTACCAAGCACACCCTTGCAAGGCCTTGCTTTCGCAAGGATGGGTGCTTTGCATTTTTATTTACCTCTATAATATAGCTCACTTACAGATCTTGCTCAACATATGAGTGATCTAAAAATTACAAAACCAGTGAGGGGGGTGTATGTGTATATCGGTCATGGAATGTGTAGAACCTAAAAATTAAGGAAGGAAATTTCCTGCTGTGTCTTTTATATCTATCAGTTACATCACAAAACCCAAGTTCAAGTAACTTCAGAGGTTTCTTTCAGAAGAAACTTCAGAGGTACTGAATCCTATTCAGGAGAATTCACAAGTACAGTGTGTCCCTTATGCTAGAACTCTGACTTTGCCAGAAGAAGAGATTGTCACAGATTTTTAGTTCTTCAGATCAGTTGTAGAAGCAGCGAAAGAATGGAGTGATCTCCAGCAAAGCGAGATTGGGAGCTCATGTTGATTCCCTCTTTCAGAGCTTGCCTGAGCCCGTGAACATGCATGGGATAGATTTGTGGTGAGTATGAAGAGGAATGCCATGACCATGGGAATCCCAGCACAGGGGTAGCAGAAATGTGTGGGTGATTTCTAGGTGCCATGTTGGTGTCAAGCAATACCCCTCAGCTGAGACCTGGATCCTCAGCTAGAGAATTTAAAGCTGCTGTCAGATTTGTATAGGGTGACTGGCAAAGGTCAGTTAAGCCCATCAACTCTTTCCACCTAGGGAGAAGCTCAATGCTTTGTTGGCAGCACTAAAATATTTAAGCAGCAGCACAATGTCAGGCAGAGAGACACCACTCAGACCGTTCTTGAAAGGGAGTGTGTTTGTCTCTTTTTCAAAGAGAATGTTTTTTGAGGGAAAACATGAGAAACAATTTCCTTCCCAAGTGAGACAAGATTTATAATTGAGAGATGTCTTTAACATTTTATTTAGTTATACATGACGCAGTGTCCAGATGCAATATCTGCTACCTGAGGCCCATTTGACACCACATCCAGCCTTGGGATGGTCTGCACCTCTAATGGTTGATACTCTGCTTGAGAACCTGACAGGAAATGCAGAGCATCAGAAAGAGGAGGGTTATGTATCATATAAATGTGCTGGACTGTGAAATGTGACACATTCAGATGAAATGAAGGCAATTCATTATCTGCCAGGACCACTGCTGGTCAGTATTAGTTGTGTCTGCCTTTTGTGCAAAGGTGAGTTTTTATCCACAAAGTTCCTGTGCTTACCTTGTTGTGTATTAGCTGGGCTGTGTGTGTCTGGATGCCCCTGGATGCCATGAGTGTCTAAAATGCCTGGGTGTGCCTATCTTTCCTCCTCCACATTGAGATTTCCTTAGCACGTTCCAAGAGCATATGTTCATGTTGCTCAATTATTATTGCTATGCAGGGGTCACATGTTTTGTAGTGTTATTTTGAGATCTGTAACTCATGAAACCATAACCTCCTGCTTACAGCTTACCTGAAGAAATTTGTGTTTGTAGAGTCCTGTTGACAATGGGAAGGTGTGTTTTGCAGTGAAATTGTTAATATTGAGAAAGATATTGGACAAATATTTGTGAGATAGTCAGACCGTCCTTTAGCTCTCAGAGTTTGTCTCTGCCCAATTGGGCAATTAATGTACGGGCAGATATATTAATATTCATCACAGATTCCTCAGATTTCAGGACAACACTAAAGAATCTGGAAACTACTGAGGAGAGCTAAGGAATCAGCTGAATGTGAATTTGCTGTAGCACAGACTGTGAGATTTAGTGAGAGATTTTTACCCACTGCAACTTTAAGGGCTCAGGCTTATACAAGTTCAAAAATAGAAATCAATTTTGAATATAGTAAATGCCCTAAGGCCTCAATCCAGCTCTCCTTGTGCTTGACTTTAATGTGACTGCTGGTTGTGCAAGAAATGTGTGATTGAGTCCATTACAAATAGTTACAGACGGAAAGCAGAAGCTGCACCTCTTTCCAAATGGGCCCAAAATAGGTTGTAATGAAAATGGTATAAAGCCCTTGTGAATGGGAGAAGAGATCCCTAACTGCTCTCATTCAGCTGGAATGAGCATTCCCAAGCTGCAAGAGCTTCCAGCATACACAGCTGCTGCTGCTACAGTCTGTCACCAGCTTAGTCAATCATCCATTATTTATTTCCAAATCATATGTAAAGCTCTGTGCCACAGCCCTTTGTCCATGTACAGGGAAAAGAAGAGGCAGAGCTTCCGAAAGACTGGAAAAGAAAAGCAGAGAGCTTCTGAAATCCTTTGCTTGGGAGTTTCTCATTTATAGTTATATCCTAAGAAGGGAGAAAAGGGGAACAAAATCATATGCAAGAAGAAGTGGCTACTTTCATGCATATTCTTGTGATCTCTTCATTTGTTGCAGTCAATACATTTTTTAGCATGAGAGCTCCTTCACTTACAAGTGCTCATGAGATACGACCCACTTTATTGTGTATGGATTGAGTGATTGATCATCTGGTCCTATTGGGCTATTCGATGCTTACCAACTGCTTAGGTGGGAATGGTTAGTGAGGGATACGGTGAATTTCCCAGGAATAGCATACAATCAGGAAAGAATGGTGAATATGAATGTTTGAAGGCAAATGACTGTGTTTCTATGACAAGCATTCCTTACATGTCTATGAACAACATCTTTTTCACATAAATGTTTGCTGATAAAGAATTTTAAGAAGTAAACGGTTAAACAGAACAGCTGTTCAAATGAGTGTTCTGTTTATAACATATTGGTTTCTTTCTTATTTGTAAAGATGATACTGAAGTGCTAATTATAAGCTTTAGCTATGGAGGCTAAAGGAGACAGGATAGGGGAAATCAAAACTATTTATCATCATTCTCAGTGTTTTCATTTTGTATGTTAATTAAAAATAGTTGTTCTGATTTGCAGAACGCTGCAGTTGCCCTGGACAGAAAGGGAATGCTGCCGAAAGATAAAGTTTGTTAAACACTTTTTCTATCTTCAAAATCAATTGTTGACAGCCCATCTGCAGCCTGTATAGTAGTTAAAATTTGTCAAGCAAGCCTAGTGTTCCGGGTAGGCTCTTGCATTTTCTCACACTGGCCTGAAAACAGCAAGGATGATTCCTCTATTGAAAAGAGTAGGTTGGAATAAAAGAAAAAGGAAGGAAAAAAAAAAGGGGGGGGAGAAAAGAGAAGAGAAGAGAAGAGAAGAGAAGAGAAGAGAAGAGAAGAGAAGAGAAGAGAAGAGAAGAGAAGAG